GTTAGTTAGTTAGTTAGTTAGTTAGTTAGTTAGTTAGTTAGTTAGTTAGTTAGTTAGTTAGTTAGTTAGTTAGTTAGTTAGTTAGTTAGTTAGTTAGTTAGTTAGTTAGTTAGTTAGTTAGTTAGTTAGTTAGTTAGTTAGTTAGTTAGTTAGTTAGTTAGTTAGTTAGTTAGTTAGTTAGTTAGTTAGTTAGTTAGTTAGTTAGCTATTTAGTTAGTTAGTTAGTTAGTTAGTTAGTTAGTTAGTTAGTTAGTTAGTCAGTTAGCTAGTTATTTAGTTAGTTAGTTAATTAGTTAGTTAGTTAGTTAGTTAGTTAGTTAGTTAGTTAGTTAGTTAGTTAGTTAGTTAGTTAGTTAGTTAGTTAGTTAGTTAGTTAGTTAGATAGTTAGTTAGTTAGTTAAATAGTTAGTTAGTTAGTTAGTTAGTTAGTTAGTTAGTTATTTAGTTAGTTAGATAGTTAGTTAGTTAGTTAGTTAGTTAGTTAGTTAGTTAGTTAGTTAGTTGTTTAGTTGGTTAGTTAGTTAGTTAGCTAGTTAGGGATTTAGTTAGTTAGTTAGTTGGTTAGTTAGTTAGTTAGTTAGTTAGTTAGTTAGTTAGTTAGTTAGTTAGTTAGTTAGTTAGTTAGTTAGTTAGTTAGTTAGTGAGTTAGTTAGTTAGTTAGTTAGTTAGTTAGTTAGTTATTTGATTAGTTAGTGGGTTAGTTACTAACTTAGTTAGTTAATTGGCCAGTTAGTTAGTTAGTCAGTTAGTTAGTTAGTTAGTTAGTTAGTTAGTTAGTTAGTTAGTTAGTTAGTTAGTCGGTTAGTTAGTTAGTTAGTTAGTTAGTTAGTTAGTTAGTTAGTTAGTTAGTTAGTTAGTTAGTTAGTTAGTTAGTTAGTTAGTTAGTTAGTTAGTTAGTTAGTTAGTTAGTTAGTTAGTTAGTTAGTTAGTTAGTTAGTTAGTTAGTTAGTTAGTTAGTTAGTTAGTTAGTTAGTTAGTTAGTTAGTTAGTTAGTTAGTTAGTTAGTTAGTTAGTTAGATAGGTAGTTAGTTAGTTAGTTAGCTAGTTAGTTAGTTAGTTAGTTAGTTAGTTAGTTAGTTGGTTAGTTATTTAGTTAGTTAGTTAGTTAGTTAGTTAGTTAGTTAGTTAGTTAGTTAGTTAGTTAGTTAGTTAGTTAGTTAGTTAGTTAGTTAGTTAGTTAGTTAGTTAGTTAGTTAGTTAGTTAGTTAGTTAGTTAGTTAGTTAGTTAGTTAGTTAGTTAGTTAGTTAGTTACTTAGTTAGTTAGTTAGTTAGTTAGTTAGTTAGTTAGTTAGTTAGTTAGTTAGTTAGTTAGTTAGTTAGTTAGTTAGTTAGTTAGTTAGTTAGTTAGTTAGTTAGTTAGTTTGTTAGTTATTTAGTTAGTTAGTTAGTTAGTTAGATAGTTATTTGATTAGTTAGTTAGTTAGTTAGTTAGTTAGTTAGTTAGTTAGTTGGTTAGTTAGTTAGTTAGTTAGTTATTTAGTTAGTTAGTTAGTTTTTAGTTAGTTAGTTAGTTAGTTAGTTAGTTAGTTAGTTAGTTAGTTAGTTAGTTAATTAGTTAGTTAGTTAGTTAGTTAGTTAGTTAGTTCGTTAGTTAGTTAGCTAGTAAGTTAGTTAGTTAGTTAGTTAGTTTGTTGATTAGTTGGTTAGTTAATTAGTAACTTAGTTAGTTACTTAGTCAGTTAGTTATTTAGGTAGTTAGTTAGTTTGTAACTTAGTTAGTTACTTAATCAGTTAGTTAGTTAGTTAGTTAGTTAGTTAGTTAGTTAGTTAGTTAGTTAGTTAGTTAGTTAGTTAGTTAGTTAGTTAGTTAGTTAGTTAGTTAGTTAGTTAGTTAGTTAGTTAGTTAGTTAGTTAGTTAGTTAGTTAGTTAGTTAGTTAGTTAGTTAGTTAGTTAGTTAGTTAGTTAGTTAGTTAGTTAGTTAGTTAGTTAGTTAGTTAGTTAGTTAGTTAGTTAGTTAGTTAGTTAGTTGTTTGTTTAGTTAGTTAGTTAGTTAGTTAGTTAGTTAGTTAGTTATTTAGTTAGTTGGTTAGTTAGTTAGCTAGTTAGTTAGTTAGTTAGTTAGTTAGTTAGTTAGTTAGTTAGTTAGTTAGTTAGTTAGTTAGTTAGTTAGTTAGTTAGTTAGTTAGTTAGTTAGTTAGTTAGTTAGTTAGTTAGTTAGTTAGTTAGTTAGTTAGTTAGTTAGTTAGTTAGTTAGTTAGTTAGTTAGTTATTTAGTTAGTTAGTTAGTTAGTTAGTTAGTTAGTTAGTTAGTTAAGTAGTTTGTTACTTGGTTAGTTAATTAGTTAGTTAGTAAGTTAGTTAGTTAGTTAGATAGTTAGTTAGTTAGTTAGTTAGTTAGTTAGTTAGTTAGTTATCTAGTTAGTTAGTTAGTTAGTTATTTAGTTAGTTAGTTGTTTAGTTAGTTAGTTAGTTAGTTAGTTAGTTAGTTGGTTAGTTAGTTAGTTAGTTAGTTAGTTAGTTAGTTAGTTAGTTAGTTAGTTAGTTAGTTAGTTAGTTGGTTAGTTAGTTAGTTAGTTAGTTAGTTAGTTAGTTAGTTAGTTAGTTAGTTAGTTAGTTAGTTAGTTAGTTAGTTAGTTAGCTAATTAGTTACTTAGTTATTTAGTTAGTTAGTTAGTTAGTTAGTTAGTTAGTTAGTTAGTTAGTTAGTTAGTTAGTTAGTTAGTTAGTTAGTTAGTTAGTTAGTTAGTTAGTTAGTTAGTTAAATAGTTAGTTAGTTAGTTAGTTAGTTAGTTAGTTAGTTAGTTAGTTAGTTAGTTAGTTAGTTAGTTAGTTGCTTCTTCTGTAATTCGGAGGGATACTTCAAGTCGGATTGCACTCAATTTTGGGATGCGGTGGCGGACGCGAAACATCCCCGTCATGAAGAGGCGCTTTCGGGCGTCAAAGCCAGTCGAGCACGTCTGATGAAGGAGGCTGACTCTCGGAGAAAAGAGACGACACCAAGCACCTTTACGACTAAGAAGGTAAAGACCTTGCATGAGGAGTTGGTAGCCTCGAGCCTGGAGGCAGAATCGGCCGGCCCGCTCAAGGTGGATTATGGCTTGGCGGTGAGGGCAGCGTTACAGAATGTCCAACAGGAGATCTTCGGGAGAAGTTTGACATTTTGAGGAAAACGACGAAAGAAGAGGAAAAACAGGAACCCAGAAAAGAGGGACTAAAACTAAACGTTATTTCGAGTAAAACGTTTGGCATGACGAAAGAAGGAACGAAGATAATGTCCATTATTTCAGTTGCAGGACACCAGGCGGTCAAGAACTTGAGTGAACTATCCGAGATTACGCTGGTACACTTGGACTTTTAGACGGACTACCTGAGGGAGAAGGATCCTAAGTTGGGCTCCAAGGCAGTGCGAGCGCTGCTAACGACAGGAGGTCCAAGGCGAATGAGAGTGGATGGACAAAACATCGAAGTCCATGGCCCATATCCGATTCTGATGAAAACGGATGGCATTAACATCTACACGGAGGCACACGTAACTGATGCGAGTGATCAGATAGGCCGGATATACATTGGCCAAGAAGAGCTGAAGGTGCGACGAATCGGACACAATGCCATGCTTGAACAGGATGCGGTCCACATAGGTTCCGAAGCCGATCTGGCCGCACATGTGCTAGATATACAGGGCATACAACTTTCAGTAAAAGAACTGTTAGACACGGGAGCAGTGGTCAGCGTCATGCCGGTCAGCACGTGGATTGACATGGGCTTCGACAGGTCGGATCTGATACCGACAAACATCAGACTGGCAGCTTCCAATCAGGGAGCAATCTATGTGACAGGGCGGACCCCGATAATATCACTGCAGCTTAGAGGAAGACATTTTTGGATGAGCTTCCTGGTAGTGGAAAATTTGGACAAATCCGATCAATTCATCCTGGGGAGGGACTTCGTACGCAACTTTGATGTCATGATCGACCTCAATGACGGGTTGATTAGGATCAAAGATCCTGAGAGAAAGTATGAAAAGAAACCTCTTAATAAGATCTTAATTAACCAGGCAAAGGTGCCAATTTTTCTGGATCGAAAAGTTAGATTGAAGCCAAACCAAGCCGTAGTAGCAACGTTTAGGATGAGGACTTTGAATGAACTCAGTAATGACAGACAGGTGTGTCTAGTACCAAATCCAAACAGTAAAAGCTCGGCTATTTTGAGGAAGAAGCTTCTCACTCAGAGCGGACTGTGTGTGAGTGTGTTGTTGAACACAGAAGCAACCACAGTGACAATACAGAGGGGAAAGAAACTTGGCTACGCATTGCCTCTGAGCACAGACTTTCAGAGTGTGGGGAACTTGAAAAAAAATTTGATGTAATTAAGTGTCCCTGGCACGCGAACCTGGAATGTATACTGAAGAGAATAGATGAATTGAAATGTTCTAAGAAATTGTTTTCAATGAAGTCGGAGAGAGATGAAGGGTTGTCTTGTTGTTTGAATTTTCAGGAGAAACCAACAGAAACAGAGTTAGCAGCAAATAAACCGGTCCTACTCGAGATAGAACATCTGAAGGGTAAAATATCGGACAAAGAAATAAATCCGCTCAGGCCGACACAGGTTGCTGTAATTTTGTAGAACACGAGATTGAGATAGAAGAGGGCTAGGTACCTCATAGTAAAGGGGCGAGAAGGATGACCCCACATAAAACAGAAGCGTGTAGGTAAGAAGTCGAGATGCTAATGCAGTACAACATGATCGAACCGTCGAAGTCCCCGTGGGCTTGTGGCGTGGTCATGTTCGAGAAGAAAGGGGGCAACTCAAGTTTTGTTGTGATTTCCGTTACTTGAATGCAGTGACGATAAAGGACACATACCCGATTCCCCGCATCGACGAAATCCTCTCCAAGCTGGGGGACGCGAAATTTTTCACGACGTTGGATTTGGGCTTTGCGTTCTGGCACTCAGGAGGCAAGATTGGGAGAAAACGTTTTTAGCGTGCGAGCTGAGATTTTTCCAGTGGAAGAGGATGTCGTTCGGATAATGTAACTCAACAGCCACATTCCAGCGACTTATGGCCCAGGCACTCACGGTTGTAACAAAGAAATACGGGAACCTCATCATGTTTTATGTCAATGATGTCGTGATCGCAACGCCAACCCTAGAAGATCATATAGAGAGGTTGGATGAGGTGTTTACTTGCATGAAGAAGGCGGACCGGAAGTGTAAACCCTCGAAGTGCGAAATCCTCAGAGACTCCATAAAATATCTGGGCCAGCATGGAGTGAGATTGGATCCCGAAGCGTTTGAAGTGGTCTTGAAATGGAAGGCACCCAAGACAGACACACAACTGATGAGCTTTTTGGTGTTTGCTAACTATTATCGAGAGTTCATCAAGAGATACGCCGATAAGATATACCCCATGCAGCAGTTGATGAGAAATAAGAGCAAAAAATTCACTTGGACTGAAGAAGCACAAGTTTCGTTTGAAAACGTTAAATGTGAACTTTGCGAGGCACCGGTCCTTGGAATGCCGACAGAGAAGGGGATGTTTGTGTTAGACACATCAGGATGCATCAGTGGTTGCGATATCGGACATACTTCACCAGGAGCAGGAGTGGAACGGGAGAACGGTTCTCCGTCCGATAGCTTATGGAAGTATTGTCCTGAGCGACACTGAGATGAAGTACGGCGCACCAAAGGCGGAAATGTTCGCGGTGATCACAGGGCCTACTTGGAGATTGCTCACTTCAAGTTGCGTGTGAATAATGGTGCCCTTGCCTGGCTGAAAACCTATTCGGTTGACCAGAGTTATATTGGTCGTTGGATCGTGCGCCTTGATGGATACCACATGATCATAGAGCACCGTACCCGTGACAGGCACCAGAACGCTGATAGCCTCAGTAAAAAGACAGAATTCTATGAGCGCCTAGAATAGAACCAGGCTAACCAAGCGGAGATCAAAGACGGATTTTCGTTCCTAGACAAGGAGAGCTACGATAAACTGCCACTCACTAGGTGGCTGGACAAGTCAGGGCACACTATAACAGGGCACCCTGAACTTCCGGTGGAGACGGCCGCTGAGATTAAGGTCTTGGCCAGGGGTGAGCCTGTTCCATTGGATCTGCTAGTCCGATCCAATCTGGTACAGCAAGAGCTTACCAGGTTGGGTAAAAACAGCATAGCCTTGTTAGGACGGTGAGCGTGGCGCCGGACGTCATGGGGAAGCTCCGTGACTTGCTAGATAGGGAAGTAGATAGGCATGATCGTGAGTGGATGGAAACCATGCAGCGGTTGACCGCCACTGAGAGAACAGAGAAGAGGCCAGTGACCATTCGCAATCGAGGTGTTGAACGGGATTGTCGGTCGATAGTGAACCAGCTAGTGAACTCAATGCCGACGGACGTCTTGTTGAAGACTTCGATCGGACATCGACCCAGGTTCAAGCCACTGAAGAAGTCAGTGTCAAGTCAATGTCCAGCTTCACGAGAAAAGTACATTTTACGGATGCAAGGGAAGAGTATGAGCCGGGGACTAGACAATGTCCGGGTGTCGTGCACCTTCGAGCCTGTACAGGACGACTTGTCCGGGGAGACAATTTTGGGACGATCAAGTGACACAATTTTGTCCGGTGAGTCGAGAAACATCACAGACAGATTGGAATATGATGACGTGGAATCATTCGGCTCGAGTGGTAATTCGAGGCCCCAGTGCTGGCAGAACCCATCTGAGACTACTTCCAATTCTGATGTATCGGAGATTGCAATCCATTCCTTGTTGGTGGAATGGAAACAGCGCGGGCTAGACCGGGAAATGCATCAAGATCCGGACAGAGTCAGGTACACCTCCGATGAAGAGGACACTGTAGTGGATAAAGCCGCCGATGAGCTCGAGCTTACATCAGTTTCGAAACGCCCAACCAGATTTCTACCAGATGGTATGGTCGTCCGTACCAATCTGGAGCCATCTGTGCAGTAAGCAACACCTTTGAAGAAGATATGGTGTGTCAAATTGATGAACGATGCTCATGCTCCGGAGATAATGAGCGGACATTAAACGTGGTAAAGACGTATCTGAAAGCCAGATACCGGCTGCCGGATCTCCTCAGGGCTCAACGAAATGATTGAATGACGATCAACCTGAGGAGATGGATCGAGAATGTAGCACCTGACAAAGGAGATTTAGAAGAAGACAGCTATAAGATCTTGAAGTAGTTCTATCTGAAGAGAAAAGATTTGTTGTACCTAAACAAAGACGGAATCGTAACCTGTAAACGCAAGGAAGAGGACAAGATCCTTTTCAAGTACAATTCAATAGTGTTACTACAGTTATACCAGAATGAATTGCTCTTTCGTTCACATGATCAGATGGGCCATCAGAGCGTGGACAAGGTGTACAGCAGCAGGATACAGAAACGATTCGAATGGCCTGGTTTGAAGAAGGATCTCTGCATGCTTGTCGTGTCAACAGGCGAAGGACTCCATGAAACTAAGGTTCCCTCTACAGTCAATAGAGTCATCAGGATTCAATGAAGTAGTGCAAATTGATCATCGGAAGATCTGCATGACAGCCACGGGCTACAATCAGGTGCTGGTAATGATCGATCATTTCACGAACTATGCAGAGGCAGCCCCCTGCATGACAGCATCGGCGGAAGAAACATGCGATTACTTGATAAATGTGCGGATAGCGAGGAACGGCTGCCCCATCACATTCCAATCGGAAAATGGCCCAGCGTTCGTGGGTGATCTCACGAAGGAGTTAATGAAGAAGTCGCAGGTGGCACAGGCCCACTTGACAACTTATCACCCACAAACGAATGGCCTAGTTGAAAGGCAAAATTGCACGCTGGTATCCATGTTGAGAAATTATTGCTTACGCTACATGAATGACTGGGATAGACACTTGTCGCAAGTAATGGGCGCTTACAACAGCACAGATCATTCCACCACGGGGATAAGTCCGCACATGATGCTAACTGGTCATGAAACCGTTGACCTACCGTTGACGTTCTTCTAACCAGAGTATGAAGGGAAGAAAACAGAACCATAAACGTACGTGCGTGATGTTATTAGAAGGCAGCAGGAACTCAGTGCTTTATGCAGGAGGAACACGCAACAGGCGCAAATTAGACAAAAACTGAGATTTGATAAAAGGACTGCAGATGCAAAGGCCTACTCAGTTGGCAATTACGTTTGGGCGTTCCACGAAGTAGTTCCACCAAACGGAACTAAAAAAATACTTTAAAAAATGGCGCCACCTATTTCAGATAACAGAAGTGCACCAAGGAGGTTGTTTTTGTCGATTGAGCAGGGGAAGAGCAGCTCTTTACAAAAACATCAAACCGCACAATGCCTCATCAGAGGACTAATGCATCCCAGTGGACATGCAAGAGGGAGACTATTTGATAGTGGATCCCGGTTGTGAAGTGAATGAAAGGGGTACGCGTGACAAAAACGACGTGAATGAGGTGGTGGATAGCTAGTTAGTTAGTTAGTTAGTTAGTTAGTTAGTTAGTTAGTTAGTTAGTTGATTAGTTAGTTAGTTAGTTAGTTAGTAACTTAGTTGGTTACTTAGTCAGTTAGTTATTTAGTTAATTAGTTAATTAGTTAGTTAGTTAGTTAGTTAGTTGGTTAGTTAGTTAGTTAGTTACTTAGTTAGTTAGTTAGTTAGTTAGTTAGTTAGTTAGTTAGTTAGTCAGTTAGTTAGTTAGTTAGTTAGTTAGTTAATTACTTAGTTAGTTAGTTAGTTAGTTAGTTAGTTAGTTAGTTAGTTAGTTTGTTACTTAGTTAGTTAATTAGTTAGTTAGTTAGCTAGTTAGTTAGATAGTTAGTTAGTTAGTTAGTTAGTTAGTTAGTTAGTTAGTTAGTTAGTTTGTTAATTAGTTAGTAAATTAGTTAGTTAGTTAGTTAGTTAGTTAGTTAGTTAGTTAGTTAGTTAGTTAGTTAATTAGTTAGTTAGTTAGTTAGTTAGTTAGTTAGTTAGTTAGTTAGTTAGTTAGTTAGTTAGTTAGTTAGTTAGTTAGTTAGTTAGTTAGTTAGTTAGTTAGTTAGTTAGTTAGTTAGTTAGTTAGTTAGTTAGTTAGTTAGTTAGTTAGTTAGTTAGTTAGTTAGTTAGTTAGTTAGTTAGTTAGTTAGTTAGTTAGTTAGTTAGTTAGTTAGTTAGTTAGTTAGTTAGTTAGTTAGTTAGTTAGTTAGTTAGTCAGTTAGTTAGTTAGTTAGTTAGTTAGTTAGTTAGTTAGTTAGTTAGTTAGTTTGTTAGTGAGTTCGTTAGTTAGTTAGTTAGTTAGTTAGTTAGTTAGTTAATTAGTTAGTTAGTTAGTTAGTTAGTTAGTTAGTTGCTTCTTCTGTAATTTGGAGGGATACTTCAAGTCAGATTGCACTCAATTTTGGGATGCGGTGGCGGACGCGAAACATCCCCGTCATGAAGAGGCGCTTTCGGGCGTCAAAGCCAGTCGAGCACGTCTGATGAACGAGGCTGACTCTCGGAGAAAAGAGACGACACCAAGCACCTTTACGACTAAGAAGGTAAACACCTTGCATGAGGAGTTGGTAGCCTCGAGCCTGGAGGCAGAGTCGGCCGGCCCGCTCAAGGTGCATTATGGCTTGGCGGTGAGGACAGCGTTACAGAATGTCCAACAGGGGATCTTCGGGAGATGTTTGACATTTTGAGGAAAACGACAAAAGAAGAGGAAAAACCTAAAACTAAACATTATATCGGGCAAAAGAAGGACCGATATAATGTAATTCAAAAAGAATTACATTATAAGGTAATTCAAAAATTCAAATTTTAAATTATATTATATAAGGTAATTCAAAAAGAATTATATGACGAAAGAAGGAACAAAGATAGTGTCCATTATTTCAGTTGCAGGACACCAGGTGGTCAAGAACTTGAGTGAACCATCCGAGATTACGCTGGTACAGCTGGACATTTATGCGGACTACCTGAGGGAGAAGGATCCCAAGTTGGACTCCAAGGCAGTGCGAGCGCTGCTCACGACAGGAGGTCCAAGGCTAATGAGAGTGGATGGACAAAACATCGAATTCCATGGCCCATATCCGATTCTGATGAATGCGGAAGGCATTAACATCTACACGAAGGCTCACGTAACTGAAGCGAGTGATCAAATAGGCCGGATATACATTGGCCAAGAAGAGCTGAAGGTGCAACGAATCGGACACAATGCCATGCTTGAACAGGATGCGGTCCACAAAGGTTCCGAAGCCGATCTGACCGCACATGTGCTAGATATGCAGGGCAGACAACTTTCAGTAAAAGAACTGTTACACGCGGGAGCAGTGGTCAGCGTCATGCCGGTCAGCACGTGGATTGACATGGGCTTCGAAAGGTCGGATCTGATACCGACAAACATCAGACTGGCAGCTTCCAATCAGGGAGCAATCTATGTGAGAGGGCGGACCCCGATTATATCACTGCAGCTTGGTGAAAGTCATTTTTGGATGAGCTTCCTGGTAGTGAAAAATTTGGATGAATCCGATCAATTCATCCTGGGGAGGGACTTCGCACGCAAATTTGATGTCACGATCGACCTCAATGACGGGTTGATTAGGATCAAAGATCCTGAGAGAAAATATGAAAAGAAATCTCTTAAAAAGATCTTAATTAACCAGGCAAAGGTGCCGACTTTTCTGGATCGAAAAGTTAGATTGAAGCCAAACCAAGTCGTAGTAGCAACGTTTAGAATGGGGCCTTTGAATGAACTCAGTAATGACAGACAGGTGTGTCTGGTACGAAATCCAAACAGTAAAAGCTCGGCTATTTGAGGAAGAAGCTTCTCACTCAGAGCGGACTGTGTGTGAGTGTGTTGTTGAACACAGAAGCAACCACAGTGACAATACAGAGGGGAAAGAAACTTGGCTACGCATTGCCTCTGAACACAGACTTTCAGAGTGTGGAGAACTTGAAAAAAAATTTGATGTAATTAAGTGTCCCTGGCACGCGAACTTGGAATGTATACTGAAGAGAATAGATGAATTGAAATGTTCTAAGAAATTGTTTTCGATGAAGTCGGAGAGAGATGAAGGTTTGTCTAGTTGTTCGAATTTTCAGGAGAAACCAACAGAAACAAAGTTAGCAGCAAATAAACCGGTCCTACTCGAAATAGAACATTCGAAGTGTAAATATCGGACAACGAACTAGATCCGCTTAGGCCGACACAGGTTGCTGTAATTTTCTAGAACACGAGATTGAGATAGAAGAGGGCTAGGTACCTCATAGTAAAGGGGCGAGAAGGATGACCCCTCATAAGTCAGAAGCGTGTAGGTAAGAAGTCGAGATGCTAATGGAGTACAACATGATCGAACCGTCAAAGTCCCCGTGGGCTTATGGCGTGGTCATGTTCGAGAAGAAAGGGGGCAACTCAAGTTTTGTACTTGAATGCAGTGACAATAAAGGACACATACCCAATCCCCCGCATGGACGAAACCCTCTCCAAGCTGGGGGACGCGAAGTTCTTCACGACGTTGGATTTGGGCTCTGCGTTCTGGCACTCAGGAGGCAAGATTGGGAGAAAACGTTTTTAGCGTGCGAGCTGAGATTTTTCCAGTGGAAGAGGATGTCGTTCGGATAGTGTAACTCAACAGCCACATTCCAGCGACTTATGGCCCAGGCACTCACGGTTGTAACAAAGAAATACGGGAACCTCATCATGTTTTATGTCAATGATGTCGTGATTGCAACGCCAACCCTAGAAGATCATATAGAGAGGTTGGATGAGGTGTTTACTTGCATGAAGAAGGCGGACCGGAAGTGTAAACCCTCGAAGTGCGAAATCCTCAGAGACTCCATAAAATATCTGGGCCAGCATGGAGTGAGATTGGATCCCGAAGCCTTTGAAGTGGTCTTGAACTGGAAGGCACTCAAGACAGACACACAACTGATGAGCTTTTTGGTGTTTGCTAACTATTATCGAGAGTTCATCAAGAGATAAGCCGATAAGATATACCCCATGCAGCAGTTGATGAGAAATAAGAGCAAAAAATTCACTTGGACTGAAGAAGCACAAGTTTCGTTTGAAAACGTTAAATGTGAACTTTGCGAGGCACCGGTCCTTGGAATGCCGACAGAGAAGGGGATGTTTGTGTTAGACACATCAGGATGCATCAGTGGTTGCGATATCGGACATACTTCACCAGGAGCAGGAGTGGAACGGGAGAACGGTTCTCCGTCCGATAGCTTATGGAAGTATTGTCCTGAGCGACACTGAGATGAAGTACGGCGCACCAAAGGCGGAAATGTTCGCGGTGATCACAGGGCCTACTTGGAGATTGCTCACTTCAAGTTGCGTGTGAATAATGGTGCCCTTGCCTGGCTGAAAACCTATTCGGTTGACCAGAGTTATATTGGTCGTTGGATCGTGCGCCTTGATGGATACCACATGATCATAGAGCACCGTACCCGTGACAGGCACCAGAACGCTGATAGCCTCAGTAAAAAGACAGAATTCTATGAGCGCCTAGAAGAGAACCAGGCTAACCAAGCGGAGATCAAAGACGGATTTTCGTTCCTAGACAAGGAGAGCTACGGTAAACTGCCACTCACTAGGTGGCTGGACAAGTCAGGGCACACTATAACAGGGCACCCTGAACTTCCGGTGGAGACGGCCGCTGAGATTAAGGTCTTGGCCAGGGGTGAGCCTGTTCCATTGGATCTGCTAGTCCGATCCAATCTGGTACAGCAAGAGCTTACCAGGTTGGGTAAAAACAGCATAGCCTTGTTAGGACGGTGAGCGTGGCGCCGGACGTCATGGGGAAGCTCCGTGACTTGCTAGATAGGGAAGTAGATAGGCATGATCGTGAGTGGATGGAAACCATGCAGCGGTTGACCGCCACTGAGAGAACATAGAAGAGGCCAGTGACCATTCGCAATCGAGGTGTTGAACGGGATTGTCGGTCGATAGTGAACCAGCTAGTGAACTCAATGCCGACGGACGTCTTGTTGAAGACTTCGATCGGACATCGACCCAGGTTCAAGCCACTGAAGAAGTCAGTGTCAAG